CTCTTTAACACCACCAAAAATGATGTTAACATACCAAGGATTGAACACAAATTAAGCTTCTAAATCTATAATTTTAAGCTAGCAACAAATATCCCTTTTATCTTTCAGCAGAACGAAATAAATAGCGATGTCTTTATGCTTTGATGCAGACATTTTGAAAAATCTGGATCTCAATATTACACAAATTCCAGCACTTTTGATATAAATGCTTTCAATACCCAACACAGATTATATTATATGAGCTCATAGTTTCAAAGTTTAAAGCCATTTAGAACATGTTTAATCAAGCAGCTCCTGGACATTATAGAAAATGTAATATTCGATTTGGATTTCATCCCTTTCTCTGCAGCTTTGAGGTGGAAAAGACAAAAAAAGTAAAGCCTAGCAGGAGGAAAACGCTTACAAATTGTAAATGTTTCCATTTGGATAGCACAGATTGGTTCATTTTGTTCCCTTGCAGACCCTTTATCTCTAAGCCACATCTTTTCCCTCCCCATATCCTCTTTTTCTTTTTGCAGCAAGAAGCTTATGGGTTTCGTCCATCATGCTGCCTTTGTGTGCCGGTTGCTGTCATGCTTCCTGCTGGTGAATCATTAGGTATTGCTTTTTATTAGCCTCTGGTGTAATGGCGATTGGGGGGGAGGGACAGGTTGGTGGGGATTCAGTCGCTCCAGTAGTAAACCAGCGCTGCCGTCATCCCTTCGCATGGGAACAAACACCATTAAAACAAGACCTCCACATATTACTGTAATAAAAGCTCCTGCTCTCGCCGTTATGGGCTTTTTAATTATGTCTATTCATCTTCCTGGGCTTCTGAGCTACAGTGCATGATGAGGCTCATTTCATGAACAGCCCACCATGGGCATGAAGGAAAACCTTGAAAATGGACGGATTTTAGAATATGGCTATTGTCATCAGGAGCTGCATGTTCCAGCAGCACAGCGTGGTTATTTTGTGCTAATGGCATGGATTGAAATCTCTCCCACTGATCAGGGCAGTGGGAATATGCCACGCCAGAAGAGAGACTGCCCACAAAAACATTCATGTTTTCATTTTTAAGTCCAGAGCTATGAAATCATACAGCTGGAACGTTCTTCTTGGATGCTGCTACTCTTTATATCAGGGGTCTGCAACCATCAGCTCTGGAGCTGCAAGGAGCTACAATGGCTCAAAATTGGAAGCTTATTTTTTCTTAGAAGATTAGGTTTTTTGAAAAGAATGTTTAGAGAACTAGAAATGTTTTGAGATGCATATTATTTGACAAAAGATCCAAGAGAAGAAAACCCATGCTTCATCTTCATCAATGGCTTGTTTTCCCTTATTTTTAAAAGCTAAAGATATAAAGTGTTGGTTGTTTGAAATGGCAACAGGTTTCCTAGTTCAGCTATTTAACAATAAAGTTATTTTAAAGGATTTTTTAATTATTTGCAATTCTAACCTTTGACTCAGTCAGACATAGTTCAAAATGGCTTTTTTGGATTTTAAAGGCTGCAGACCCCAACTTTACAGGATCATTCACATCCACAACTAACAGCAGAAAACAATGAATGCAAAGGAAATGCATTCAACTCTGTTTCAAGCTGTTATTCTGCACAATTATTCCATTTAAAAATCATTGTCAATATTTTCAGTTTCAAATATTTTCTGGAATTTGTGAGGAACACGCTTTCAAACTCTGCTCAAAATACAGCCACATTTTTAATGTTTTATTTTTTTAATTCAGGTACTAACAGAATGCCCAGTGAGTTTAGAGTGTCTGCTGCAGACTAAGACGCTCACGAAGACCATCACCACGGCCACAGCAACACCCGCTCCACACAGAAGGGCTGTAGATGAGTATGAGGCTGAGGGGAGGGAGGAGGAGAAGGCAGGAATTATTGGCTCCATTAGTTACAGCAGTCAGAATTAGACAGAGGTGAGTGTATTTTACCAGCTAGAGCTTCGTCTTGTGTCTGCAACCGAGGAACTGGTTCAGGAGGAAGCTCGCCGTCTTCTAGAAAAATGGGACCTAGAACTTCCATCCCTTCCCTCTGAGCAGCTATAGAAACATTAAAAGCCAATGTAGGACGAACATTTTTTTTTTGCTGCTTTGGACATAGTTTAAATTGAAATCAGACAAATAAAAGCAGCTAAAAACTCCTGCAGAATGAGTCAGTTTTCTTTGCAACTTTGCAGAAAAAAAAAAAATCATGCTGCATTTTCACACATTAGCAATGTGTCAATGTTTATCCCCTGGATGTTTGCCATGCACTCATTAGCCATCCCAGAGTGTCGTGTATTGTAGCTCGGGTAAACTGTACCTGCATCTGCCTCAGAGCTTCTCTTCTGTCTCTGCCCACCGCAGCTGGTCTCACAGCAGCTACACACCTTGTTGTCTCCATCTGATGCCACCCATCTGTCCACAGTCAGAAACACGTCGCTTTATGAAGGGAAAGCAACAAACAGCAATGTTGCTGCAGCAAAACCATCTTAAAGTGAGCTCACCTTCCAGCTTCAGTCAGGAAGGAGCAAGCTTTGTGTCGCGAGTCAATGGGAACGTCGGCTGTGGTTGCTTTCATTTGACAGGTCATATAGAACTAGAAGATTGGAGAGAAAAATGTTCATTCATAAAGTAGAGAGGATACATTTCAAGCTTTACTTCATGCATTTCAGATGGATTTTCTTCTAACTTCTTCTCAAATATATCAAAGAGTACTTCCTCCTGTATTTGAAGTTTTATTATTAATTTATTCCAGGTTAGCTCTATAAAGAATTAGAAAAACCAAGGAGAAAAAGGACAAACTGACAAAAAAATGTTTTTAATATAGCATAAGCAAATCACACAGTAACTTAGCTTACTGAGTTTCTGTCATCTTCTTTGAACCTGAAGCCTTTCAGCTGGAAATGAAGTTTATCCTCTTCCCTTCTCGGCAGGAAGTAAGACTGGGCTCCTGTCAGCTTAGCATCAGTCAAACACCTTTAAATGACAAACACCCCCCAAGAATCTCTGATTCCAACCTAAACCGTCCTCAAACTTGAATTTATTTGTAGTTATTTTTCTTTAAGTAGACTACAGTTTATTTTAAGCTCTTCACCCGTAGTTGTTGATGAAGGGATATCTGGGCTGAGATCCTGGATCGGGGTTCACGGTGACCACGCAGCTGTCCACAAAGATCCTCAGAGGAACGTGGTAACCCTGCAGCAACGCCGCCTCGATGTGCATCATGTCAAGTGCAGAATAGACATTGGAAGGCCTGACCGACTGCCAGTCGTCTAATCAAATCCACAGGACAAACATGTACAGTAAGAGGAAAAGCAATGCCGGGACCATTTATCTAATTAGATGAAATGAAAGGGATGCCCAAGGGAGATGATTGGTCTGGGCTGCAGCAGAGGATGGGATATAGATACGGTAAAGTCAATACAATAAAAATAAAATTGAATTAAAAAAATTAAACAAATTACAAATGCATCATCATCATGAATCTGGATGAGGAGCAGAAATGAGGGTCTGTAGCAAGAAAATACAGTTTAAAAACTTCCATAATTCCTTTAACAAACTTTATAAAGTAATCAGGATTTCAGGAAGATCAAGTTTTAAGATGAACAGTTCAGCTTAGATATTATCTACCGTCTATTTGGAATTAATTAGAAGCCATAATCAGCACACTATTGATCGACTCGGTGTGAGTCTGACCCTGCCAGGTCAGCCACCGCCTACAAGGCTAGTGATTTCACCCTTATCACCATGCATCACAAGTTTCTCTCCCGATTAGCATCCTTAAGAGTTTGCAACAAAGTCTACTTCAATCTTCAATGTTTCTTGTATTTTATTTTCCCCCAAATGAGGGATTAATTAGCTTATAGTCTGCCTCCATTTTTATTTACATCTGTACTACCTGTCATGAGATGCAGCGAGAACTGCAGCCTCGTTTTTGTCTGCATTTCAGAAGCGAACGTCTTCCACAGTGGCCTCATGGCGTTGCTGCTCACGTAATGTTTCCTGTCAGAACACGAAAGAACTTTATTTACCTGATCATCTGTGCAGCTATGTTTATTTTCACCTTTAGGAGGTCCTTTCATTTCCTAATGCATGTATACTATAAATAAAAAGTAAATAAAATGCATGCTTCCCAAAAACTGCTGCAAAACTACAATAATCCTCTTATTCATGACTTAACAATCTTTTAGTTTGTTAAATGACAAATTTTGGAATTCAACCTTTTAAAAAAAAAAAAAAAAAAAAAAAAAAAAAAAGAGAAATGCATCACACACTTATTTCAAAGCAAACAGTTTGCAGCATGCTCTGTATTGCACTAAAAACAACACATACTTACCTTTGAAAGTAGCAGCGGATTTCCACCTCAGCCGGGTTTGTCTTTAGAACAGAGGTGTTACCGACAGGGGTTGGAGAGTACGTCAGTGTATATGTGTAGATAAGGGCCACATCCACCATCTGAAAATATGAAACGGATGCATTTACTCATAACCGACTGTAGTGGATGCATATAAAAGCAGTACTGCCGCTACTTACCGTCACTGTGCCTCCACAGCCATGTAACTCTGTCTCAAAGAGCAGAACGTTGTCCACAGCATTAACTGCCATGCAGCCTCCTAAGCTCAGATCATCAGGACGGATCAACTGACCATTACCTAACAATAGAGACATTTCATACAGAGTGGCAGGTATTTTGAAATTTAAAATAAACCAAACTCCAATTCAGCAACTACCTACCTAGAAAGTTCTTGTTGACCGCTACAGTGACCTTATCTTCACCACAGCGGACTGACACACTCTCTGCTGGTGCACGCTCTGGCTGTTTGGACTTCAGCACCACCTGCAACACCCATCAGACTGATTGATGTTGTTTGGACTGAAATGCTGGGGAGTTGTGAAAAAGATTAAGCGTGCCCAAGTTACCTTAGATCCTTTTCTGCCAGGGTCAGGACTGGAGAGGCTCAGATTTGGACCCTGGGCTAAGTCTTGATCTTGAACATTTTTCCTTTGCTGCAGGAGCACTGATGGAAGCATGGCCTCGGCCTCCAGCAGGTTTTTTGGAGTTTGCATTGTTTCCTCAGCAGACCCAGGCAGGCTTTGTTTGTTGGGTAGTGCAACAGTGTTTCTGAGTTGGTAAGTCCTCAAGCGAACAGTGACAGGAGAAGGATGCGTTCCCTGCTGCGCACTTGTCACTTGTTCTCTTGGGGTTTGGTTGAGGGTGTCATTGAAGCCAGGAAGCAGCAAGGTTTGAGCTGCAAAGCAAACGTTTCTTTCTGAAATGAGAAGCACAAACCACAAGAAAATAGTTACTCTGAAACCCATTACAACCATTAAAACCTGAAGGGTTTTAGTGATTTGGCAGTGAGAGCAATGCTGTCTTTGTCCATACACGAAAAGATATGAGAGGTTTGAGTCGGCTCCACCCACTCATAATCACTTGATTAGTTTCCAGCCTGGAGAGATTAAACTCTGCCTCTGCTTTCACTAAAAAATGCTTTATTCAATAAAAAGCTGTTTAAGTAAGAAACGTATCTAAAATCTGGTTCCTTTAGAGGCTTATTTGCATTTTTAAGTAAAAAATTCATTATCTAAAATCAAATTGGCACCTAAAGGAACTTTATAGAAGGGTTTTTTTTTTTAAGTATGAAGTTAGGGGCCAGAATAGCTAATAGAAAATTCCAGTATTTTAATATCACAAGGATGAGACCTAATTTTAAAGTTTATGATGAATCTCATATCTTCATGTTGCCTCTGTCAAGTTTAACCTGGAAAGAGACTTGCATAAAAAAAAACTTCATTCCTGTCAAAGACATTACAGCAGCAGAAAGAAAGAAAAACAAGCCCTTAGGGGAAAACATAATTTTTTTAGATGTAATTTTAGCCAAAGTATGATGCCACAATTAAAGAAGAGTATAATACAAGTCCCTACTGCAATGCATTGTTTTCCAAATTTTATGTCAGTGTCTGAATTATCAAGAGTGGGGAAAGCAGGAAGATTCAGAGACTTTAGTGAACTGTAAAACAAGTACCGGTAATGATTTTTTTTATGGTTTTAACCTAATTTAAATATCACATTGGTTAATGAAGAATATAAAAAATTAGAGCTGCTCTAACATCTAATGCAACTCTTGACACTGCTTAATTAAAAATGCTGATGTGTAAAAAGAATGACAGCGGACCGAGTAACGATCCCTGTGGAACACCGATGGCTGCACGAAAGAAGTTAGAGGGCAGGCCGTTTAAAGGTATAGTGGTGGATTTTCGAGATTTTTTTGAAAAGACCCGCCCTCTCCACTTTATAAAAATTCACATGCACAACCCTGTATCCGCTCCAGAGAGGGAATGCCTATTAAACACGTGCCAGAGCGTGCACGAGCCCTTTTCTCCTCGTGCACACTCTGTTTAAAAGTTGCTCCTTGTGCATCACTCATACAAGCTTACTTTCCAAAAGAAGGTTTGCAATTTTTCCACTATGTCAGACTCACCACAGGTAAGTGAAAATGGCAACGAGCACGTAGGACGGCCTTATGTAAACAAGAATGATTGACAATTAGGAGGACAACTTATTTTGATGATCCAAGAAAAAGAAAATCCTTCACTTTACACATCTTTGTCAAAGAGATCATTTTTAAAGCGACAAATAAGCTGATATGGTATCAGGATATTGATGCTTTTTTTCCATAATGTTTGGCTTCTCATGATTTTCTTATGGCACGCAATTTCTTAACCTCAACATTGTAAAAAACAAATTCTTTCAAAAACAGCAAGAATTCTAAGCTCTAATGATGGATGCTTTTCACTGCCCTCATGAGAGAAATCAATCACATCTCTCAGGAAGTTTAAACCTCCTGCCCTGCATTTTGATTTTGCAGCACGGTCTTGAATGTCAAGGCGAAGTGGTCGGCAGGTCTGCTGGGTTCAGCTGGAGCTGCTCATAAAATGAGGATTTACGATGGTCCACCTTCACAAATGTCACTACATATATATGTGTGTGAGTGTGTAACAGGAAGCTGGCGGCCATGTTTTGAGCATGAGCCAGCCGGCATGTCAATCATTCAAAAATAAAACTGTTCTCTCTTTCACCCCTTAATCAATCTTTTGATGGGGAGAGGTTTCTAAGTGACGCCAAAAGGATAATATAGGTTTCTTTCAACTATTTAACCTTAAAAAAAACAACTTTTATACATTCTTCCATTTTTTCTACAATATGATCGGCCACACCAAGAAGACCCAAAGTTTTTAATCCCTGGATTAGGTTTTTTTTATTTTCTCTCTTCTTGTCTAAAGCGTATGTCTGAATACTCCGGCTTTGCTCACAAACATGTATGTCTGGGTAGCTGCTACACCTATGAGCCCCTTAGATCACATTGCAAACAGTTCCCTTTTCTTTCCGCTGCGGATCACTGAAGCACTTTACAAGAAAACATCAATACACAATAAAAGAGGGAAATTAAAAGCATTTAGATGTGTTATCACACCAAAAATGTCAGATTAAATGGCACCTCTAAATGCATTCAAACATGACGTTCAATAGGACTAGTCTCCTCTTCGTGAGCTGCAGAGAAATTAAAGGCCATTTGTAACCTTTTAACAAGCTTTGCAGAGATCTAGCTAATCAGAATTAGTAGCTCCTATAGATCTGTTCCTTTCATAAGATTAGACCACCAATCTGAACATAATTTGAACTTAAATTGGACCATCTAGCTGTAGATTTGAGGAATATTTCCATCCACAAAACATCAATAACAAAAAAAAACCTGGAGTAGGATGCAGAGTCCTAATAAGATGCTGTTTTATTTTGCTGTCATTAGCTTTGCACTAACTTCTTTGATCTCCTTTCACATTCTTTTTTTCTGTTGCAGTGGCTTTTTCTTTTATATAAGTAGAGGTACCACATTAGTGCTGCTTCTCTTGACTTCAGTGGTATCAGTGCCTCTTCAATATTGCGATGAAGATGCAGGCATTTTCCTTTGGAAGATCAGAAGTAGTAATCAGTGTTGTTCAGCTACCCGGTGCATGATCCTTTCATTCTCCTGTAATCCTGATGGTGGCGATGGAAGTCTATGTTGGAGCTCCACCTCACTTTGAAGACTGTCCTAATAAAAAAAAAACAGTCAGGCTTCGGGTAAAGTAAGATTAGTTCCAGAAAGTTAAATTAGGTCATTTATTATTTGATCATTTAACAACATTTAACAAAAAGTTTCTGCTGATATTAAGTTCTGGTCTTTTTAGCCTTAATCATAAAATACAGCCACGCAGTCAATCTCTATCTCATAAATATTTGAGAGTAAGAAAAATGTAACTACTCTGTACATAGGGCTATAAATAATGACCATCATTTCTGTTCCTGCTGATACCTTTCATATAAATGCAATGCAAACAACGCCTTTAAAGTCTGATGAATGAAAACTTAATTGATCGTTTCAGTTAAAGCACCTTTTAGGGATAAAAAAAAAATAAAGGTTCTCAAACCCAGTTTAACAAGCCACTTGGTGTTGACCTTTAAGGCCAAATCAATTAGCTAAATCTTGAATTTTACTCTTTGTCTCCTTTTTATATTGACTAAATTAAAACATACTGACACTTAAAGTCTGATTTCAATGTTCATCTTTGCCGTGAAATGTTGAGCGATGAAGCCCAGGCCCAGACATTACCTGCTTATCCTTCCATTGTCTTTGGTGGGCTGGTACCTATCTCCAGCTGTCAGCTTTAATAGCCATTATAGACTGATATAGAGAGTTAACCTAACAGTTATGTGTTTAGATTATGGTAGGAAAGAATAACTGGAGAAAACCAATGCATAGACTTGGTAACTTTGCAAACTTTATTATAAAAAACCCATAAACTTATAGTTGTGAAGCAGCAGCGGGTCAAACCCCAGATCATGTCCCTTAGCAAAAAGTAGTTTATTCAAGTATACTAAAAGTGCACTAATTTAATACTTAAAATCAGGCAGTGAACTTAAAGTTTACTTATTCTGAACTATATTTCATAAACTTAACAATCGTATAGTCAAGTGTTCTTGACTATACGATTGCTTACTTTATTGTTTACTAAAGTATACTTTAAGTATACTTTAGTAAACTTAAGAATGTCCCAATTTAGTTTGAGGAAGTATTACTTTGGTAATACTTCAAGTACACTAAAAGTACATTGTTCGGTATACTTTCTAAACTAGAATTTACTTCAAGTATACTACTTTTTGCTAAGGGGTACCTTTAAGGTTTTTATCAAATAAAAAATAAGAAATCACAGCCATTTTAATCCTTTTTAATTCTCATTTACACATTAACGATTTTCCGTCCTATTTTAGGAAAACGTTCTTGAAAGAAAAAAAAAAGAAAGACCAAAAACCTAATATAATTTCCCAGGAATTAGCCTCTGCTTTGAAGGTTTAAATCGGTTTAAATGTGTTTCCCTTGCTGCAGTTGCACTAATATGGGCTGACCTACAGGAATATATATATGTCTGCTGTTCCAGGATCTCCCTATGGACTCTGCAGAGGAGAGGCTCCTTTTGTCAGGAACTGGCTTTTATCTTCTGCTGATCAGCGGCAAAACAAAGACAGGTGTGTGGATGACGTGTGTTTGCGGTTGTGTGTGTTAGTTCAGTTCAGGGGGGGTTGGATTAAATTCAGTCCACCTCTGCCAGTCAGAACCCTCTCGCTGCTGATCTCTAACTTGGTTAGCTGCCTTTAATTTGGTCCTGAGGGAAAATAATTTGTTTCCCTTTGGTGGGTTTCTAAAAAAAAAGGGTCTGGCAGCCATTTTTTTTCACACGCAGCCACGTTCTGCCGTCGGCTTCATCACTTCCCGCCCCCCCGATAATCTCTATGCATTTTCCAACAAGGGTAGGTAGGTGCAGGTAAACCGGGCCGGGTCTCCGTTTAGTCCTGATAAACACACACTCATCCTGCCTCCACCAGATGGGATGTCATCAGCTGTGGCACACTGACAACGCAGATGTTCCACAACAGCAACACACACAAGGGCGTTAAAACACACACGTGTCCCTTGTCACATTTTGCTGACAGCACAAAGTCACAAAAACAGCTCGATTGGGCCCGAGCCGCTCTGCACCATACGGATTATGGTTATGGAGGCTCATTAAAAACATGTAGTGGGAGATGGATTAGTTATGGCCTGCTGTTGTGGTGGGCGAGATCAGTGGATTTCAGTGCGTTTTGTCAGTGCGTGTGCGGCGGTGAATGGATCTGTGGGGGTGGGGAGCTACTTTTCTGCCTTCCAACATGTGTTTTTAGAAGCTGGCATCAGTTTTAGTGCTACTACTTCAAATAACAACCTACAGAGTCTTTTTTTTAA